CGGGACCACATTCGCCCAAACCCCCGAGGCTTAATTGACAAAACTGCCCACTTCTGACACTCAGGAGAAATTGAACCGGGCCCACCCTGATGCCATTGTCAACCTTCTCCTCCAAAGTTCCTCAGGACCCAGGCCTCCTCCCTTCTTCTCACCCCTTCCCTGTCCTAGTGAGACCCAGGAAAGTCCCCCCACACCTCGCGTGGAACCAGTCCTGCTTCAAGCACCAGCCTGTGACATCCTGAACAGAGGGGTTCTGACAAACTAATTCAGATTAAGGTGTAATGGACTGAAACTTGTCACGGAGGGGTCTGTGCTTTCCAGTGGGTCAGGCCGCAAGACCCCTCCAATGAGGTAAGAACGGAGATGTATGCCAGCAGTCCTGGAGCTCAGGGCCTGCCCCGTCCACAGCGTGGCGCTAGGGAAGTTCTGAACCTTGCTAAGCCTCAGTTTACTTATCTGAAGGACAGTGAAAATAATGGCATTGACCTCTGGAGTCATCCTGAGACTCTGACGAGTCAGTGCGTGTCAGCGCCCCGGCACAGTGACAGGCACCCGGTAGGTGACTCAGAAACAGTCACTGTCGTGATAACTTGGAGAAGAGCAGGAAACACTGAGGAATTCCAGAGAAGGTCACAGCGTGTGTTACACTGTGCTAAGTCAGAGGCCATTTCCCGCCCAGGCCAGTGGCCGCAGGTGCCAAAGGTTTACACAAAAGCTCTGGGGAGAAAGACCGAAGACTGAGAAAATGCTCTCCACTAAATGAACATTGTCTGCAAACTGGGAAAAGACCACCATTAGTCAATTTGGCCAGCGGAACACCTGGGGTCCGGCTCGCAAAAGCCTAATGTTGACAGTGGGGTTTGGCAAGCTGGCGTTTCCCCTGGGGGATGGGGCTCTAATGGGGGGATTCATGGCCTGTGATGGGCCCACTGCAACGACTGCGGGGCACAGAAATCTGCATTTTGGTCCTGCTCCCTACACATGGAAACTGCCTCTCTCGAGGCCTCAGTCTTCCCGTCCAGAAGATGGTAGAGTTGAGCTGAGGACATCTCCAAGGAGGTCCTGGGAGTTGACAGATGGCCGGGGAGGCCCTGCCCCAGCCATAACCTGTGGCCCTTGCAGGCCCCAGGGACAGCCCCACTCGAAGAAGAGACCAGAGGAAGAGGAAAGGGGCTGGTTCACTTTGTGGTCAACGCTGGAACGGACTTAGAGGGTCTTGCGTTCAAGGGGTTTGCCTCCCCCGCTTGGCAGCACACGGAGGCCGGAGCAGGCCAAACACAAGAAATAATAAATCCTAACCAGGCTTTGCCCAGTCGGGAGGCCCCGGCTGGCTCTTGTCATAAAAAGATCTTATCCCCATGAGCGCCCCGTGCCGCTGGCGGAGGCCTCCGCCCTCCTCCCCTCAGCCCTCCGCCCTCCGCCCCTCAGCCCTCCGCCTCCACTTCTATTTCCTGTGACAACCTGCAAACTGAAGACCAACTTGCCTCTCCCCCGCGCCCAGGCTCTGGCTCGACCCCCGCCCCGCCCCGCCCCCGCCCGGGCCCCAGCTGCAGGAGGCCCCGGCAGAGAGTAATTCCCCGCGCCCTCCTCTCCGCCCTGGGCCCGTCCGGACAGATTAAGCCTTTGTCACACACACCCAGAAAAGCTCAGGGCCAGATGGGACGGGACAAGTGGTGTCAGATCATCGACCCGCGGCCGGCCAGGACGAGGGAAGGGCCCGACCACAGCACCGCATATGGCTGTGGGAGGAGGAAAGGGGGCCCAGGGAGGGGGCAGCCAGAGAACAACATGGAAGAGAGATGACACACCAGGGCCACCCTTGGGACCGCACACCGCGCCGGGAGCCCTTGTTCAGCTGCTGGATGACCCAACTCCCACACCCCCTCTGGCCTGAAATCGGTCTGCCTGACCGCCCTCCCTCGGTGGCTCCGGGCACGGGCCTCTTTATCACATCCTTGGAGATGCCCACCTCCCCCAGCAGCTGGGCGCACAGGAGCAGGCAGGGTCCGGCCCGCCCCAATACCTAATACCCAACACACAGCCTGTGGGCACTGAACAAACGCCTCGGACAAAGGTTTAAGGCCCGATGACCTTCACAGAAACCCACCCAGGACAAAACTACAGGATGTCTCCCAACTGCCACCAGAGGCAAAGGCAACTTTGTGTGTGTGTGTGTGTGTGTGTGTGTGTAGGCCAGTGAAGGTAGGGGATGTCCTTTACACCTTTCAAAGAAGGTCCCATTCAGCCTTTCTCAGGAAGAGGCCATGGCTGGCCCAGAATTCCCAGCAGGATTTGTTCCTCTTAGATCAGTGGGGAAAAAAAAAAAAAAGGAAATATAAAAATAATAACTGAGCCCCAGGAAGGGGCTTGGAGACGGGGGGTTCAGGACCAGGGGCTTCTCCTGCGGCGGGCTTCAGTCGCTGGGCTGACAGCAGGTATAGACTAACAGGCTCTCTGGTGACCAGCAGGCCAGCCAGGAAGCACGGGGAGCTGGGGGGGGGGGGGGGCAGGCTGTCAGAGGAGGGCACGTCTGTCCTGTTGTGTATGCCGTCCCCCTGGCAGCCTGGGCAGGGAGACCTGGGTCCCCTTTCCCTGCCTCCCAGGCAGGTGGTCCCTTGGGGAAGGCTTATTATTGGTCTGGGAGTCAGGGTGGAGGCTTGTGAGGCCCCTGATGCCAGGGCCAGATGAGGTAGGTCAGCATGGGCCTCGAGAAGGGTCTGAAGAGACTCGCTGGGCTGCGAGGACTTGGAGCCCAGGCCTAGCACAGAATTTCTGCATGTGGCCTGCATGAGTGTGTGTGTGTGTGTGCGTGTGTGTGTGTGCGCGCGCGCTCGTGTGCGTGTTGGTTCCCAATCACGCTTGCTCTGCCTAGACAGCAGTATTGCTAAGAGGGTAGGGGGACTGCCCCAGGATGCCCACTCCCTAGGGAAGGGGCAGACCCAGGCAGAGAACCAGTGAGCCAGCTGCCAACTCTGAGGGTCACCTGCCTCCCAACTTCGGGAGTGGGTGGAGTGGGGACCCTGCTGCCGCTGAGAAGGTTGAGCCAAGACTCTCAGCTCCCTGGGGAGGGATAACCAGGATGGGGTAGGAGGTGCTAACTGGCCTGGATGGCTGAGGGCACTGGCGCAGGGGAGGGGGCACAGACCCAGTAAACCACCTGGTGGGTCACTGACCTGGAAAAACCACGCTTAGACTGGGGACACTAGCCCAAGATGGGGGAGAACCCGAGGTGGTACGGAACTGGCAGGGTGGGGAAGACCGACATAAGCTGGGGAGAGGCACTGACCCATACTCCCCGTAAGGGAAAGTGGGCACTGATTTGGGCTGGGGGAGGGGTCCCTGACTCGATCAGGGGAGGGGACAATGACCCAGACTCCCCGGGTTTGGGGGAGAGCACTGATTGGGGCTGAGGGGGGGTGGTCCCTGACTCGCGCAGGGTGGAACACGGCTCCAGCCTCCCCCTCCGGGAATCCGGCCCCGGCGCACCCCTCGGCCCGGCCCCAAGCTTCGGGTCCGGCCGGAGGCGGCAGCGGCGCAGATGGGCTGCTGGCGGCCGCAGCGGCAGCGGCGCGGTTATCAGCGCTCCTCGCAGATGGGCCGCCCGCCCTCCGCGCTCACGGCTCCCCACTCCCCGCGGCCTGCAGCCCCGTCCCCTAGGCGCGGGGGGAGGCGCCTCCGGATCCGCTCCCCGGCTCCCGCCTCCCTCCCTCGCGGCCCCCTCACCCCGCGGGCCGGGCCCGGGCGGCCGCCGGAGGGGGAGGGGGAGGGGACAAGTGCACTTTTCGTAACGACCGAATCAATTGTGTGTGAAGAGCCCGCTCCGGACGGGGACGGGGCTGAGCGCGGGGCGGGCGGGCCGGACGGGGGAGGAGCACAGAGGGGGGAGCGGGGGAGCGAGGGAGGGAGGGAGGCCGGCGCGGGGCGGCCCCGCTCGCTCGCTTGGGCCGGGCGAGGCCCGGGAGGGAGCGAGGGGGGCAGGGAGGGAGGCCGGCCCGGCCGGCCCGGGCCGGGGGCTGAACGCACTAATGGAGGGTCTCCACGACGGAAAGTTCAAAGCTCAGCAGCGCCCCGGGAGCAGCCGCCCCCCCCAGCCCCCACCCGCTGCAGAACAATGAGGTCCCGGCGGGGGAGCCGCGGGGCCCGCGCCGCACGCCCTCTCCAGGGCGCCCCGGGCCGGAGGGGACGCCCCCGCCCGGCCGCCCGCCTCCTCCCTCCCGGCGGCTGCGGTTCCCCGCCCCCTCCCCCACGCCACCCCGCCCGGACCCGGCCGGCCCCGGGGACGGGGGAGGGGAGGGGATGGATAGGTCAGGCCGCCCCCGTCCCAGGGAGGGGGGGAGCTAGGGGCCCGGGGGGCGGAGGGGGCGCCCCACCCACCCGCGCGAGGCTGCTCCTGCGCCAGGCTGCGGCTCGGGCCGCCCCTCCCCGGGCCAGCCCCGGGTGGGGTCTGGGAGACAGTGCCCTGGCGGGCCCCCCCAACCCTGGCGCTGGGGAGCCGAGTGGACTCCCCGTCCCGTGGCTGCCCCTGCCCCCCCTCCCGCGGCACCACCCTCCACACACACACACACACACACACACACACACGCACACACACACACAGCCCAGCCGGCCTGGGGGCGGGAGCGCGAGGCGCCCGGGACAGGCAGCCCCGGGGCGGGCGGGGGGTGGGGGGGAGGCTCGGGCTTCGGAGCAGCCGCCTGCTGGCGGGGGGAGGGGACGGGAGGACGGAACATGCTGGGGTGAGCAGCCCGGGACAGCCCGCTCGGCAGGGCCACGGCCCGGGCAGCGGCGCAGAGGGGGGCAGGGACGCCCCGAACCCGGAGCGCTGCCTGGGCGGGCCGGGGCGGGCGGGTGAGCAGAGACGCGTGCGCCTCGGGCGGGCCGGACCCACGGACAACCTCAGGGACACACGTTCGGACACACATCCACACCCCCACACCCCGCCCCCGCCCGCCCCAAGCCCCGCGGCGGGACCGGCCCGTGGCCGCCGCGCGCGCACTCACCGAGCCCGTCTTGACCGGCACATACACCACTTGGCCCATCTTGGGTTCCCGGCCGCTGCCCAGGCGGAAGCCCTTGGAGCGCACCCAGAACTGGAACTTGCCTTTCTCGCCGGCCGCCGGGCCGCTGCCCGCGCCGGTCCCGCCGCCGCCCTGCAGGACCTCGGCGATCCGCTGGTATTTGCTGCGTGTCACCGTCTTGGTTTTGGCCGAGTCGCCGTAGGTGCGCAGGCACCAGTCCCGGAACTGGCGGCCCAGCTCCGAGTCCCCGGGGCTGCGCTCGCGCTCCCAGCCCCCGCGCAGCAGCAGCGTCGGCTTCGGCATCCTCCCGCCGCGCCCGGCGCCCTCGGGGGCGGGCCGGCCGCCGGGCCGCCCGGTGCCGGGACTGGGCTGGGCTGGGCCGGGCCGGGGCGCGCCGCGGCCCGGGCTGTCCCGCGGTGTGGCTCCGGCGCGGCTGCCTGATGGGCACGGGCGGCGGCCGGACGCGCGGGGCTGCGGCGCGCTCTGTCCTGCTCGGGCGGCGGCAGCGGCGGCGTTGGCGGCGGCGGCTCCGGCTCGCCTCCTGCTCCGCCTCCTCCTCCCCCCCGGCCGGGATGCGGGAGCGATGGAGGCAGCTCCGGGCCCGGAGGTGCAGAGGGGGCGGGCCGCCCCGCGGGCGGCCGGGGGAGGCGGGAGGCGGGGAGCGGCTCCGGGCGCGGGGAGCGAGACCGAGCCTGGGCGCGGGCGGCGGCGGCGGCGGCTGTCAGCTCGCGCGGCTCATCCTGCTCCTGCTCAGGCTCCCGCTGCCGCTGCTCTTCCTCCTCCTCCTCCTCCCGCGCCCGCCTCCACCACGCCGCGGGATCCCACCTGTTAGAGCGTCGCAGCCTTCGCCGCCGTGCCCCCCCCCCTCCCGCGCCCGCCCGCGGGGCCCAGACCCCGCCCCGGCCCGGCCCCTGGGGGCGCGGGGGCTGCCGCGCCCGTAGCCGCGGAGAAGGCAGGAGCCGCAGGCGCGCAGTGCCCAGCCCAGGGACCGAGTTCCTCTGGCCGGGCCTGGCCGGGAGCCTCGCAGGCCGCGCTCTGCCGGGACCGGCAGTCTCGCAGAGAGCGGGGCGCAGACCCCTCCTGGCCACACGCGTCCCTGCCTCCCCGGGCGGCCCCGCCCGATTTTAGTCCAGCGCGGGCGGTACCGGGCAGGCGCCCTTCCCTTCCCTCCCTCTCGCAACTGGCCTGATTTCACCGGTGCGAGCCCGGCGCCAGAAGAGCAGTGTTCCCCTGGGGAACCCCAAAGCGCCGCCCTTTGGGGCCCCCAAACTTCCTTCCCTCTCCCCTCACCCTGAATTCCCCGAAGTTTAGCCGGCCTTACTTCTGGCAGCCCCACTGCCCTGGGACAGCCCCAGGCCCCAGGAAAATCGTCAACATTGGCCCGTGGCCTCACTCAGGCCAGCCCCACCAAGGCTTCAGGCCACGCTCAGCACACCCACAGGTTCATCCTGGAGACACCCCACCTTCACGGGTGCACCTGGAAGCTCTTGCCGAGTAAACTGAGGTAGCCCCCATCCTCTTCCTCCCTGGGCAAGACTGACCTTGGGGTAGAGCTGACCGTCTCCCCCTTAATGCAACCACTAAGATAAATAAAGTCGCAGGCCCATTCTCCAGTATTTCTGCCTTCCTTTCCTAACAGGTGGTGAGGAATTACTTGGTTTCTGTCCTTGTTGTTCCCTGAGGTGCACCCCCTGCCTCCCGGCCACTCCTGCAGGCAAGTCACCACTCAGACCTGAGGCCCAGATTTTGACCCGTGCAGGGCCACTTAAGTCCCCCACCCTGGAACCTTCAGTGTGCGGTGTCCTGGCATCTCAGAGGCAGAGAGGATTGGCCCATTTTACGGATGAAGGCCTAGGGCCTGGAGAGGTAGCCTGACCTGCTCAAGGTCATGCAGGAGGGAGGGGAAGGTTTCAGCCCAGGGCTGTGGGTCTCCCACTACCACATCCCACATGAAGTCCCCCTGCCATCCCACTGGGAGGACCCCCACAGCCTATGTGCCTACCTCATTTCTCCCTGTAGACTAGGGAGGTCCAGTCCAGCACAGGACCCTTGTCTGACTCAACCTTTTATGCCCAGGCCCTAGCACAGCACCAGGCACACAGTAGGTGCCAATAAATGCTGCAAGAGCTGAAGAGGTCTCCCAAGTCCCAACCTCGCACTGCATTTCACATAGAAGATTTATTTTTAGATAATTTACATTTCCATGTTACTTTATATACACCAACAACTCCACAGTCATTTTCCCTCTTCATCTCCCCAAGAGCTCTTTTTGGTTCCACGCTGGCATGTCCATTTTTCAGAGATTACTACTGGGGCTCAGAGAGGGGAAGGCACCACCCAAAGGCCACCCAGCCCCAGAGGTGTGCTTCGGCGTGACTTGGAAGCCCATGTTCTGACTTTTCCAGTACACCCCTTGACACTTACCCTCACCCCTCCCGAGAGAAGGTGCCCTCACCCAGCAATGTGAATGACCACTCTCAGCAAGGGCGCCTTGGTGCCTAGGTGGTGGGGCCCCCATTGGAGGCTGGGTCTCTCTCTCTAGCTCCAAGGCCCAGTTGAGTAACCACTAAGCCAGACCACCCACCCATGCAATCTGGGTCTTTGCCGCCTTTCAGAACCTAAAACCCTGCTTACCAATCTTGGGCTGGGTTCTCTTGTGGCAGAAGTATAGCACAGTGGAAAGAACATGGGCTTCAGGTAGAGTCAAACAGGCGTGGGATGGGATCCTGACCACCATTTGCCAGGGAAGTCTTCACGCCCACGGGTCCCAGGCGGCTGCTTCCCAACTGAATAGACCCACCGGTCCACCCTTCGCTGAGCCCCAACATCATCAACTTCATCATCTATTTAATGGAGTGGGTGTCGGGGATGTAAAAGTTCGACAGAATCATATACATGAGGATGCCTGGTATATAATAGGTGCTCAATAAATGCATTTTTTCTTTCCTACAGCTGTAAAGTATTCAAGGAGGAAAATGGGGATTGTTGATACCTTTTGTGTTTCATTCATTCAACAAACATCTCTTGAGCAGTCGTTATGCACCAGGTGCTGGGGATATAGCCATGGGAGTCTGAAGGTCCTTGCCCCTGAGGAGCGCACTAATGGGTGGGGAAGATGGCCATTGAACACAGCCATCAATAATGACAGCCTCGGGGGGGGGGGGTGCGGTGCACCTGCCTGGCACAGTCAGTAGAGCATTCAACTCTCGATCTCGGAGTTGTGAGTTTGAGCCCCATTTGGGGAGTAGAGATTCCTTTTAAAAAATTAAGAAGAAAATCTTTAAAAAAATTACAGCTTGGAGAAAGGGTCTTGAATGAAATAGGGGGCTGTGATCCCAAATGGACACAAGGAACTGCTTTTCTTAGGGGGATCAGGGAAGAACCCTCTGAGGTCATGTATTGGAGCAGTGACTTAAATGACAAGGAGCCATGTATGCTGTGTTCTGAGGGAAGAGCATTCCAGGCAGAGGGAATAGCATGTGCAAAGGCCCTGAGGTGGGAAAGACACTGGCATTCTCTAGAAGCTGAAAGGAAGCCAGTGTGGCTAGGGTCAAGCGACCCTAGGAAAAACTCTGGATTGCATTCTAAATGTGATGCAAAGATCACTGGTGAGTTGTAAAGAGGGGAGAGACTGAGGCGCAGAGGGGACGTAAGGAGTGGAGGGCAGCCCCGGAGTCTGCAGTCAAGGGGCCTGGAGGTCAGAGGTCTTGCCCTCTCCTCCCATGTGTCAGCTTACTCTAGACTAGGCACTTCTCAGCCTCGTGCCCCAAAAAGTACTGGGGGGAAAAGTAGAGATGGCCAAGCAGAGGAATGAGCCCAAACCCACTTCTGCTGAAATAGATCCCTGGACCCCTAGCCTATTAGTGTCAGTGGCGTCCTTTAGCAGAGGTCCTGCCCCAGAGCATGCTGGGGGGGGGGGGAGAGTTTTTCACAATGTCCAGCTCAGGGAGGGGCACAGTCATGGTCCTAGGGGGCAACTGCTCCTCTTTTCTTCCCATTCCAGCCACCTGCCAAAAGGACAAAGTAGGCTGTCCCATTCATCATAGGTCAGTAGGTTCCCTGGAGTTTTTCTTTACCCTTAGTCCAGATGTCCAAGGGAGGCTGGGACCGAAGCACAGGGAGCTTGGGCCCCCAGAGCTCATGTCCGCTCAGGATGCTGACAGTACTATCCTGGAGCACAAGAGGCTACCGATGGAGGGTCTACAGAGAGAGTACAACACAAACTCTGTCTTTTACAGATGGGTAAACTGAGTCTTACAGAGGGGAAGAGAGGCTCAGGGCCACAGGCAAAGCTGCTACCTGATTTGGCCCAGATCACTTGTTTTTCGCTGAGCTCTGACTCTGGGCCTGGGAATGGCAGGGGGTGGGGGGAGGGTGGGGGACGGGGAGAGTGTGGTGGCCAAGGTTGGGAGGGTGGTACGGAAGGTGGGGGGGGTGGGAATGCCTACAACTCAGAGGAGAGGTGGCCCTGCCCTCCCCCTGCAGTCTGCCTGTGCACACCCCCCAGCTGGTCCAGGTCCAGCTCACCCAGAAAGGCTTCCTGACCCCTCAGTTTGGCTCAGGGACTCCCACGGCTGCTCCCCGACCCCTGTGCTCTCCCCATCCTGGCTCTGACCACATAGCATCGCATTTACCTGGTTACCTGTACCTACCAGTGCTCCGCGCAGGAGCTGAGGCTTAACAATTATTGAATACATTTTTTAGAAGCGAATGAATGAAAGAATAAATGGGCTGGTCCTAAAAATGCACATCTCAGATCGAAGGTGAAGGCATGTTTCACCACACTACACTACCTCCCCCTTAAGCAGTCAGTCTAGCAGCATTCAGTGTCTCTCCAGCCCCCTCCCCCCCACCCCAGGCAGGCTCTGCGACTGGGTGACCTGACACAGGCTCCTTGCTCTAAGCCTCAGTTTGCAGCGCTGGCAGCGTGGGGATACTGGTGATCTCTAACGCACAGGGCTATTGTGAGAATAAACTCAATAAATATCAGCTCCTAATGTGGCTGTGTCTGTCTGCCATTTACTCGGACGTTCTGTTTTGAGTGTCTTCCATGTCGGATGCCATGCCGAGTGCTGGGGCACACGAGGTAGGCCTGGCCCTGGCCCTCGTGAAGCCCAGGGAGTAGCTGACTTTCAGAGATTGTGCCAAACACGTTGAGAGTTAGAAAACAAAAAAGGGGGCTCGGATGAGCATCTCTGAGAAGCGCTAGCTGAGGGTTCCTTGGACAGAGGCGCTCAGGGCAAAGAGAAGAGGAAGGAGGAAAAGTTCTCCACAGCCACGATGGCCCGTGCCATGGTGCCCGT